CAACAACATCTGCCTATCCCAGGTCCATGGGAAGGACTCAATAGGTGGATAAAAATGCCAAATCCGGTCTAAACATCTGACTGTGCAACCAACAACAATAATAATAATATGCCGTGCAGCTCTGGGCGGAAGGGGAAAGGAAAAAGAAGAGGATGACCAGCAGCAAGGTTGATGGACTCAGTTACAGTGGCAATAGGTGTAGCATTGGAAGACCTGAAAGGCCAGGTTAGGGACATTACTATGGAGAAAATCTGTATGTGGCTGCTAGGAGTTGACACTAACTTGGTGGCACATAATTAGTTGACCTGAAACGTCTATGCTTTATATATGTATGTATGTATGTATGTATGTTTATACATACATACATACATACATACATACATACCTCAAATTTAGACACTGCTCATCTCACGAGGAAGAGCATACAATATTGGTTTTGTAGAAGAATTTGGACAATTTGTAGAGGAATCTAGACTGTGTGTTTGTAGTTCTCATGTTGCCATGAATTTTCCATCTTTAGTTGTGAATGGGATAACACTCCCCTGGATGAAAATGACATGAAGTTTGGGAATCCTCCTGGACTCTCAGCTCCTGCTTGAAAAGCAGCTGGCAAGTGTGGCCAGGGGGACCTTTGCCCAGATTTGTTTAATGCACCAATTGGGCCATTTCCAGAACCAGGAGTCCCTTACAGTCACTCGTGCCTTAGTCATTTGACACTGCGTATGAATTATTGCAATGTACTGTACTTGGGACTGCTCTTGAAGAACACTCAGAAACTGCAGCTGGCTCAGAATGCAGCAACTGGGGCAGGGATCTTGGGATGTCTGTATAACGGCTCTGCTACATTAACTGCACTGGTTACGAGTAGCTTCTGGGTGCAATTACAAGTGCTGGTCATGAGCTACAAAGTCTTTCATGCCATAGGGCCTGACTGCCCAAGGGACTGTCTGGTAAGATCTGGCAGAGCAGGCATGCTCCGAGTCCCATCCTTAAAACAGTGCCATTTGATAGGACCTAGGCAACGTCCCTTCTCTGTCACGGTGTCCCTTCTCTGTCACAGTGTCTGCTCTCTAAAATAGTATCCCCCCTGAGGTTTGAGTTGTCCTAAACCTGCCATCCTTCAAACGGGCCTTAAAAGATCTGGTTCTTTCCCTACGCATCCAGTCAGGAGCATGTCTGTTGGGGAATTTTTTCTCAGATGTTTGTTACTTTAGTCTCTGGTTTATTGCCTTCTGTTTGTTTGCTTGCTTGCTTGTTTGTTTGTTTTTAATCATATTGAATATGTTTTTAATTGTATGTCACCCATAGTTGTTTTGAGTTGGGTAGCTGTTGGGTTTTTCTTAAGCTGGTACAGACCACAGATACAAAGACTTAGATTTGTTTTTGCCTCACTAGGCTTGTTTTATAATACAAAATTAAAATGTTTGTAATTATCCTACTCCTTACTTTTAATCTGAATGCTAAATCTTCGTGTCGGTTTCTAACTTATTTTCTTACTGCTTATCTTAATCTAAGGTTTCCTGTCGGTATAAGTTTCATAAAAGTAGTTCTGTCTTAACCTATGAGTTTCTGTCTCTGTGTTCTACGTTTATATTTTCCTGTTCCTATAGTTCTTAGCTCTATATTTCCCTATCTTGACTGTTTCCTAGCTTTTTCAATCTTTCTTGTTTCCCCATGTCTTTGGCTCTTCTACCCACCACAGTTCTTTTGTATTTGAAAAGTCTTTTCGCTGCTTCTCTAACGGCTTGCTTGCGTTATTGGAGCTTTTCTCCTCTCCGCCCCTGCAATGCACAGTCCTCTCTTCCCCGAGTTGTATTGTGGAACTCTGCGCCTCGGCTGTTGCACGCGGTGGGCTTGCTCTGGTTGCTTCTTTGCAGATGCCGGTCCGGCTTTTCCCACCATCTTTTAGCTCTGCCTCAGCGAGTTTTGTCTGTTGGGTGCCTGCTTCAAGGCTTTCCATTCTTTGTGTCATCTGCCACTCAATTTGCTTGCCTTTGAATTGAACCTTTTCTCATTTCCCTGTAATCTTCCTAGTGCAACTGCTTTGTACCACACCCACACATGCCCTGGGTTTCTTGCCTGCTTTATGGGACGCACTCTCCAATTAAGGAGAGGGTTGGGCTATCTTAACCCTCTTTCCCAGGCAGTATTGAAACTCTGGATCTCAGGAGGGAAGGAGGACCACCCACTCATTTGGGGCGGTTAAGTTTATCCTTTCCCAATGGCCTACATGAGCTATGAACATAAATAAACTGACATTCTGGATAAAGTTGTACATTTCAACAAATCAGAAATGAATCTTTCATTGTAAGTCTCATTGAGTAAATGTAGGTAAGATTTCAGGTTTAAGTGATAATCTGGCAGTTTACTTCTTATACATACAGGAAAAAATGGCAGGGGATATGTCTCTGATACGGAAACAGGGCAAAATATTGATAAATAAAGCATAATTGGTACACAGAGAAATCTCCCTGCCATCCTATTCAATTTGTGTTTTTACAAATTTGGGATGCTGATTTCATCCAGCCCAGATAGTTCTGAAAACCATAGTACATTGGCAAATATCAGGGACAACATGCATGGCATTGTGAGAAACCAGTGCTTTTTAGCCATAGCTCTGAGACAGTAACCTATGTAAATTTGGTCAGCCTTGCAGAAAGGATGAAAAACTTTTCTGTGGAAAGCTTGAATTACTAGAAGGATTATTAACTTGAACCATTTAATAGAGCCTGACGACAAATGGGTTAATACTCCATCTCTGAAATGGTTTGTGGGCACTATAATATTTCAAGTATCTCATCTTCAAGCATGTGCCTGACTCTTTGGGTGCTTTTGACCTTTCTGGTTCTGTGAGACTACTAAAGCCACACATATGTCAAGCAGAACAGATAACTGCATTGGGATTTTTCTCAAAGAATCCCTGCTTGATATCAAAATGTATTCAACGGAAATATTCAAAGCTTGAATCTATCAAGTGGCCTTTTGTCAAGACAGATCACTGGCCTAACTAGTTGAGCAATCAGCTTCAGGCAAAACTCTATCCCATACCAACCTGCTATCTGATGCTTTTACAGGTAGTCCTCAGGTTAGGATGACAGTTGGGACTGGGATTGCCGTTGCCAAGCACTGTGGCCGTAAAGGGCAATGTCAGATGACCACATAGCTTAGTGACAGCAATACACACAGTCCTGGTTGTCATTGTAACCCCGAGATGCAAGGGTAAGCGGGAAGCAAAGGGAGCCCCAGGTAAGCAGAGCAGGGATGCCACAGGGAGGTAGGGGAGGCCCAGAGCAGGCTCCATGTGAGTTGGAGTGCTGCAGTGCAGCACAAGCTCAGGGAGGCCAGGGCAAGAGGGTGCGGGGTGCATGTATGTAAGCACAGGGAGGCTGGGGAAAGAGGGTGCAAAGTGTGTGCAAGCACAGGGAGGCTGGGAAAAGAGGGCGTGGGGTGTGTGTGTGCGAGTGCAAGAAGGCCCAGGGAAGGAGAGCACTGGTGGGTACATACATGTGTGCAGGCACAGGGAGGCCAAGGGGGAGACTTACCCAAGTAACTTGTGGCCTTCCCTGCCAGCTTCCCCACTGACTTTGTGGGAAGCCGGCAGAGAAGGTCGGCAACAGTGATCACGTGACTGTGGGATGCTGCAACCCATCGTAAGTGCAGGCTGGTTGCCAAGCACCCAAATTTTGTTCATGTGACCACAGAGGCATTGCAACGGCTGGAAGTTCAAGGACTGGTTGTAAGTCCCTCGGTTCAGTGCCATAACTTCAAACAGTCGCTGAACAAAGGGTCATAACTTGAGGACTACTTGTATTAATCCTAGAACTCTTATGCAGGTGAAGGATGTGCCATATGGTTGAATTCCTAGACATCATTTAGGTTGCATAAGAAATATTGTAGCATCCCGTTCATATCTTCTAGTTCTTTGCAGTGACAACAGTATTGCAAATTATGCAAAAAGTTAAATACTGTTTTGAAAACCTCATTAATGTTAAAACAGTTATATATGCTATTGGGAACTATAGGAATATGGGCTGAATATTTCTGCTATTTCACTATACTTGGCTACATTCACGTGAGAATAAATTTGGTTGAACATTTGATGCTTGATTAGAAATAACTGTTCTTCAGTGGCGGGGAGGACTCCTGTGACTGCAGGATGAAGGTGGTCATTTCGTATCCAAACATATAAAGTAATTCTTATCCATGATGGCATAACTGCACCCAACATTAGGTAATAGAACACAATAAAAGAAAAGCTTTGCTCCATTCTTCTTCTTTATCTTTCTTATATTTTGCTTTATTCTTTTCTTACTGTGTATTTATTCTTTGTAAAACTGTGGTGTTATTTCAATTTACAATATATCTTTTAAATCTCCAGAGATTATTTTTTTCAAACCGTATCCTTATTATCATGTTCATAGTGCCTTCTCCAGCACAAATTGCGAGAGTTTCTTGCTGTTCCAAGTGTCTCCAGAGTTACCATGACATTAGAGATAAGGACCTGTCTTTCCCCAAGTTGGAGAAGGGGCAGGAACAGTTATACCAATTTTCTTCCAATTAAAGTTTGAGAATTCCTGGTGTAACTAATTTTATCACCACCCAGCATAATGAATTGGTATTTTACATAAGGTTGACAGTTTCATTTTATTCTAAGAATCTTTTGTGCACTTTTAGTAAACTATTTCATTCTCTGCAAAATGCTCCTAGATGTGTTTTGATGATATATGCAAAATAACAGAATATTATGTTGTAGATTAAGTGACCTACTTGTCTATCTTCAGATATTAATTTATGCATAATGCTTTTTAGAATACTTTTATTATGTTTGTTCATTGCTATGTTCAGATGAATTGGAAAAAACAATGCCTAACACTTGGATATTTTTTAATGTTTTCCTTCTTATTTTTTATCATATAGTTTAGGTTTTAGATATAGATATAGATATAGATATATATAGAATTCCTCATGTCTCATAAACAATTATTCTAATGCTATCACAGAGAGGAAGATTCAGAGTGTGAAAAGCATAAGAGAATCTGGTACTATAGCACAAAAGTCCAGCTGGCAGAATTAATTGAATGCCTAGACAAAGATTACTGGGAAACTGATATCTGCAAAACTCTGGAAGAAATGCGCGAAGAAATTCATCGGCATATGGATATAACAGAAGACCTTACTAATAAAGCACGGGGTAGCAACAAATCTTTTCTTGCTGCAGCAAATGGTAAGAATCTACTTAATTAATCTTAAATTTTTAATCGTACTAACAACACATTTTGATTGCATTGACTCATATTCCAGCAAAATACGGTTGTGAGAGGAATTCCTCATGTCTCATAAATGCAAGAGGGTAGGATAAAAAGGCACAGCCAAATGGAGAAGGGACTTCAAAATACTTAAGGAAGCAGCATTTATTGTGAAGCCTAACAATTGTTGGATCCCAGGATACTTTTTCAAGCATGCAAATACAGCTAGGATAAGCAAACTGCAGTGAACTAGCTAAAGCAAAGGATTTCATCTGTAGAATGAATTAGATATGCAATAAATGTTGCTTACGTACTTGGTAACCATTATGCCATTTGTCAGAGAGAGAAAGAAAAAAGACATATTTGTTAAATCAAAGGCCAAATTCTGTTTGGTTTATATTCTGAAATGATGGTTTTCTGAAAGCAGCTTTTAACGACAATGGAATACATTTGAGAAGATTCCATTAAACCTAAGAGCCATTATAGAAGTTTTGAAGGATGTCAAAAATAGGCATGTATGTAATGAAATGACCTGTAGCTTACAAAAGCTTGCTCCTTTATAGAATGTGCTAGTCATTCCATTACCAGACTCCTGATTTTGGGCTACCATATATTAACACAGCTCTCCTACAAATAGTGACTCAGATTTTCTTGACTTTGAAAAACAAAATTTTGAAAACCAAGAGAGAGAATTAAAATGTAGTTCATTGCATCTCTGCTGAATATATATTACAAGTTAACGATTATATTTCAAACAATCAGATCCTAATAAGACATGATACACTAGAATGGCATTTGTCTGTTATAGTCCTTTCGCTGCTGTTTCCCTTAAGGTCTGCAGGTCAAAAATTGAGAAGCCACAGTTAATTGTAGCTCTCCATTATGTATAAACAGGAAATATAGTTAATGACTTTTAAACAAGCCAGGTCTTATTTGCAATCTGTTTAAAACATTGTTTTGCAGATCAGACATAGGAAACTGTGGGTTCATTGTGTCTGTCTGGCTTATTTCCCCGTTTATGGGATGAAATGAACAAAATGGCAGCTAATTGCATTTGCTGAATGCAACCAAAGTGCATAGTTTTAAGGTGACATAGTTGTCACCTTTAAAGCCCCGCATGGCTTAGGACTGGGTTACCTCCCAATAGTTTCTACCCGTCCAATTTGGTCTGGTAGTTTGGGGGTGCTGCGGATCCCATCAACCAAGGAATATCACCTGGTGGGGACCAGAAGGCCGGCCTTCTCAGCAGCAGCCCCGCCTTTTGGAACATTCTTCCTTTGGAACTCAGGATGGCCCCAATCCTGCTAGCCTTTCATAAGGCTTTAAAACCTGGCTATATGCCTGAGCCTGGGGCCCCAAAAGTGTTACCTGGTTGCACTAACTTTTATGTAATTATTACGATAATTCTTGGCTGCCTGTATGTATAATTTCTAATGCTTTTAATGATTGAAATTGTTCATCACCCAGAGTCACTTGGATTGAGATGGGCAGCTATAGAAATTGCATGCATAAATAAATAAAAAAAGAAAGAGAGAGAGAGAGAGAGAGAGAGAAAGAAAGAAAGAAAGAAAGAAAGAAAGAAAGAAAGAAAGAAAGAAAGAAAGAAAGAAAGAAAGAAAGAAAGAAAGAAAGAAAGATAGATTATTGTTTTGTGCATGCACAATACTGTGAATGAAAATAATTTCAAAAAAATCTTCCTGAGGCATAGGTATGATGTACATGTTGGCATTACTATTCAGTAGAGAATGTATACAACCTCATATCATTAACAGGAAATTGTACACTTTCAGTTTCCATAGTTTAATAGCTGTCGTTTCATGATTAAATTTGTCTAATCGGTCTTCTCATTCTGGTATGAGTAACTACAGTCTCCAAGGGGGCTGTGTAAACTACAGACATTACCTGCATCTGCAGGATATTTTGTACATTGATGACATATTGCTCATGCAATATGTATGAATTCATCTCAAGGAATTTATATAGTGCATAATTAATATGAATATTTTCTGGATAAGCAACAGTCTCCTAAGTTCCAGAATAGAAAACAGGATTCAGGGGGGTGGATGGAGGGGAGGTAAGATGATATGACTTGGGTTGAAAGATCTGCAGCTCACTTGCTTTGCATGTATGTAGGAGGCAACTAACCCTAACCCTGTAGACTAGGAATTTTCCAGAGTATCTTGGGATAGCTTCCTAGAAGAGGAAAATGGATGTTCCCATCTGCACAAGCAGATTTATTTATTTATTTACGTATTTATTTAACGTGGCCCCTATCTCAAATGACACTGGGCATCTAATATAAAAAAAAACACAAGGTAAAACACATTTATAACAAAAACGAATAAATATAGCTGTCATGATAAAACAACCAACACAACCAGCATAACCACAATATGGGCTCAACCACACACCAAGAGCCCAGGCTCAGTAACAAAACCAGGGCTTCAAATATTTATGGAAAGCCAGTAGGGTCAGGGCATAATCTCTGGGGGAATGATGGGTTTCCAGAGGGTGGGTACCATGGCAGAGAAGGCTCTCTTCCTGGGTCCTGCTTGATGACACTCACTAATGGATGAGACCTGGAACATGCCTCTCCTGCTGGATCTAACAGGACAGGTAGATAAAACCAGGGAGAGATAGTCCCGCAAGTAACCCAGCCCCAGGCCATGCCATTTTCTGCTTGAGCAGTGTTATTTTATACCTTTCCCCATTCAACATAATATCAAACACAAGGACACTGTTTTGTTTTGTGTTTTGTTTTGTTTTGTTTTGTTTTTTTGGTCATTTCTGCTTTAGATCAGAGCAATATTGGTCAACTTCATGTAATTTTTTCCTCCCTGTGCCCATAAAAGTATTACTGAACAAGCAGGTAAAATACTTCTTGTAACTACTGACAAAGTCAGAAAATCACTTTATAGTTCAGTTAGCAGATGTATCCTTATGAAGGTGAAATCTAACATTGCATGAATAGACTTCTATTCTCACAGCGCTTTTCTGCCTTTTTTAATGCATAGAGTACAGGTTCATTAAAAACAACATGGTTGATTACTTGACTCTGAGTAACCTTAGGCATTTTCACTTTCCATTTATCAAGGATAGCATTTTCTTTCACAGCAATCATGGGGCAAACTTCCATTTGTTATAAGTAGTATTCATTTGCCTTCTCAATAAAATCTGCCAAGCTTTTATATGACCTGTGCCACTATGTCCTTTACTACTTTGGCAAATGAACAATATTGTCACTTTGCAATATCCTGTCTCATTTGGGCTACATATAACACTATGGACATAGGCTCTTAAGCATATCCACTCTCCTGTCTCCTGAATCTGCTGTGGAGAACTGCCCCCAACTATGCATAGCAAATTTAGAGAAGGGGAAGGGCATTTATTTTGCTGGCAAATGCTACTTCATTGTTGGATAGATAAAAATTTGATATAACCATGTTAAATATTCCTGATATATGATAGGTTTATGTGGTTCCTTTGGATTTTTGCACATCAGTATGGCAGAGGGAATTTATTCTGAAATAACACTAGTTTCACTAATGTCACTACGAGGTATTTGGATCTGAGGTGTTTTGATGACATTTCAGCAGTTTTACCCGTGTTAGCACTAATATATAGAGAATATAAAACAGGAAATTGGGTTAAATGCTGAAAATGATATTTTGCCATAATGTGTGTTCCATTGACCAGCACTTGAATGTGCTTAGGAAACTATATAATGATATAATGAACCAAATACATGAAGTATATTCTCATAATTGCATTGTACTTGGAATGTTTTTGCTCATTTCCTGAAAACATAACTTTTTAGGTGACCTTTGTCGTGGGGTTCTTCCAGACATCTTTTGATTTGATCTTCCTTTCATATTTAGATACCGTTTATTGTAAAGTACTATTCAAAGAAAGACTCTGGTATCATATTGTTAGCCACTGGTTAACTTAGTTTTTCAAACTAATGTACTGTTTTATTAAAAAACAATTCAACATAAATGTTTTAGAATGGTGAACACTTGTATTTGCTAATAATCATCACCTTTGGCTGTCGGAAGTCTTACTAGAATGGATTTCTCTGCAAATTGTTAGGTTATTAGCTATATATAGTCTAAGAGCTACAGCAAATATCTCTATCTGGCTTCTGCTTTGCAATCACCAATCCATTTCCTTTGAACTGGCTTAGCTACAGTGTATTTTTCAATAGATGTTTGTTTTATTTGTTTGAACCCAATTTCTTGGTGGTTCAAGAGCCCTCATTTAGTTCTGAAGTCTTTCAGATATTACAGTGAATAAACACACTGGGAACAGAGTGGATTAAATTAATCCTTTCTTCTTGGGGAAGCTCTTAGCTGAAGGTTCATTTAATCCAACCACCCCACCTAATTTTCAGTCATTGTACAAATTTCCCTGTATATATTGACAACTCAGATTCCTGTAATTTCGTAGAATTGATTTTTCTTTCCATCTGTTCAGTTGCATCTGACTTTCCAAGATTTTACAGATTAGTTTTCTCTGTTCTTTCTGATGTTTTACAATTTCATGTAACGTTTCTAGGTTTAAAACAGTATCTTGCTTGATTGTATCTATCCAACATGTTCTTTGCCATCCTGTTTTTCAAGCACCTTTAACCATTCTTTGCATAATTGATTTTTCTAAGAATTTGATCACATGACATAGCCAAAGTAAGACAATTTAGCTTGGTAATCTTAGCTTTCCAGTGATATTTCTGGCCTGATGCCGTCAAAAATTCATTATTTTTTCTGTTCAAGATATGCACAGTAGCTGTCTACAGATCTGTAATTCAAAGGAGTCTACTTTTCTTCTATCTGCTTTTTTGTTGTCCAAATTCAGAAAAACAATAGCATTTATTATGACCAATATCCTTAATTCTGCATACTGATCATTGCAGTGCACTCAAGTGATATTCTGTATTTAATTTTGGAACCAAGGAGACTAAAGTACTGAACTGATTCAGTTTCTTCATTGTCAATTTTTATCTTGCTGTCATCATTTTCAGCTGTTGTCATGAGTTTAGTTTTCTTTCTTTTTAGTTATGTTTAGATGCAATCCAGCCTTTTTGCTTTCTGCCTTGACTTGTAGGATTGTTTTATATCCTATTCGTTTTCTGCCAGTAGATGGTATCAACTGCAGATTTTACATTGTTAATGTTAATGCTGCCAATTTATATTCCAGCTTCTGATTTGTCTAAGGTAAGGTTCCTCAAAATAATTTCTGTATATAAATTAAACAGAAATGGCAGTTGAATACAACCCTGCCTCACACCTTTTCCAGACTTCAACCCGTCTATGTCTCCATATTCAGTGCAATCAAAGGCTTTACAATAGTTGATTAAGTATAAACATGCTTCCTTTTGAAATTTTCATACTTGTTCCACGATCCATTGAACCTTTGCAGTGAGATCTCAAGTACCTCTTCCTTTTTTAAAAACAGCCTGTACCTCTCTTTCCATGATTGGGTCCAATTGTTGTATGATTTTCCACAACATTTTCTAGCATGTGATATCAGGGCTATTATGCAGTGCTTGGAGCAGACACACATGTCACCCTTCTTTGGGATTGGGATGAACACTGATCTTTTCCAGTCTTTCAGCCATTTATTGATGTCCCACATTTTTGACATAGTTTTGCAGTTGCTGCTGTTGGTAGCGATTTAAGTAATTCTGATGGAATGTTATCAATTCCGGGTGTTTTCCTTTTTGACAGCT